AGAGAGAGAGAGAGAGAGAGAGAGAGAGAGAGAGAGAGAGAGAGAGAGAGAGAGAAGAGAGAGAATATGAATGCATCAAGGGGCTAGTGTACAAAGCCTGACTTCCACAATCTGCTCTTGGAAGAGGCTCTACGGCTACCATTTGTCACCTTCCCACCTTCTTCTTCCATTAACCCTTCAGGCTCAGCAGCTCTTAAATAGCAAAGGCTTTTATTCCTGATTTCCCTATGAAACACACACCATTAGGAATCAACTATGTCTAATGGAAAATTACAAGTTTTGAGCCAAAGAATCATGTTCAAAAGTCATTATTTACCATCCTTGAGACCTTAAGCAAGTAAACACAACCTTTTTGACCTGCCTCCAGTGCCTAGTCTGCAAAAGGGGGTAATAAGATAAAAATCACCAGGGTGTAAATGCAGGCGATATAAAGGAACAATGCTTTCTAGAAACATTAATCATTGTGAATTCAAATGAAGTAGACTTTGGGCACCATCTCATCTAAACCTGTCTGGCCGTGGGCTCTTTTCCTGCCACTGCCGTTTATCAGAATGAGTTTCTAAAGCTGTATCTGAGGATGATAATTATTCACAGAGCTATAAAGATGATTAAATAAAGCAATGTCTGTAAAACCCTCTGTAGCTGTCATTGCTTTACGACACAGAATATCAAATCACAATAAACTCTTGACCCTTTGCACTCCACCTGATTAGAAGCAGTCTCCCATTTCTTCACTTGTTGCTTGTTTTCAGTGCTCCTAATGTTGAAGATGTGTCATGAGTAATAGAGGAAAGAAAACTTTTTCAAGGGAGCAAGCAACAGACATCAACCATAATTTATATGGTCTATGCATATGTGTGTAATTCACTATTCTAATGAAATAAAATTCAACTGAGTGGATCTGCCGCACTTAATGATATACATAATCCTTACGTGCACTGCATGGTAATTAAGCATAAAAGTAAGACTTCACATAAATAACTATAATTAGTATCACTTGGATGCCACCAATGCATAATTTTAATTTATTATATTTTTGTTATTTTTTCTAGTATCCATAATTAGCAACAATGTTAACCATTACCATCACCAACAGTATGGGTTATCATTGTTAGCAATCCATACTGCTTTTGTTCTCTCACTCACTCATTCATGAGTGCCTACTGCATACCAAATGCAGGTAATTATTGGGTGCCTACTGTATACCAAATGTAGGGTGTGTACTGCAGATCTTGATGGTCACTGGGAGACAGACAAGACAAAGGCTTATTTCAATAGAGCTTTAGCCCCCTGGCAGCAGGAGACTTCAGGTAGGAGGAACACAAAAAGGAGGCTATAATCTGTTTTGAGGTTCCAATTGGGGGAAGATGGGTCCTAAAATACAAGAAAGCTGACTCTGCATTTGTGGGTTCTAGTTATATTCTCAGAGTCCACCAACTAAAGATCAAAAACATTTGAAAAAATTGTGTCTATGAAGAACACAGACCATTCAGTAACTTGTTATTATTCCCCAAATAACATAGTATAGCAACTATTTATACAGTATTTAGTTTTAATCAGGTACCATAAGTAATCTAGAGACAATTTAAAGTATACAGGAGGGTCTAGGTCATTTGCAAATAGTACTTGGCTTCACATAAGGAATTTTGGTCTACTCACAGGTCCTAAAATTAATCCCCTGTGGATTCTGAGGGGTGACTGTAGAATTTAGTGAGGATGAGGCATTGTGGTGACTGTAGGTGAGGTGCTGAGTGAGGGACAGAGCAGCAGATGATCATAGAGTAGGTGTAGAGATCAGGTGGGGTGTGCCTAGGATCCAGGAGGAAGGCACCAAGGCCAGCTGAAGAATAGCCTCATGGCTACAGGATGTGGTGTGCCCTTGGTCGTGGAGACACTTAGGAAGGGGACTTGACAGTTTACTGAAGGTGGGAGCCAGGGAGGAAACCTAAAGTTTGGGGTTTTAACACTTGGTACAGCAGGCACCTTTCCTGAGACACCTAGGAGAAGCTTGGAGTGGACATGTCAAATTTGTATTGTGAATGGGACATCCCAAAGCACCCACCCAGCAGGCAGGTATAGGCTGTTTGATGAGGTAGCCACTGGCCTCCGGTCACTGTTTACACTTAAAATAACCAAAGGATGTAAAATGTAAAATGCAGTTCCCGATCATCCCTGTCTCACTTCAGCAGTCACCTGTGACTAGTGGCTGTCGTACTGGACAGCACAGACATAGAACCTTCCTATTAGGGCTGCTGAAACAAATGACTGTTAAACTCAATGGCCTAAAACTACAGATTCTCTTTCTCTCAGAATTCTGGCACCTAGAAGTCTGAAGTCACTGTGTCAGCAGGGTGTGCTCTTTCTGGAGGCTCTGGGACAGCTCTTAAGCTTCTAATGTTGCAGTAATCTAACATTCCTTAGCCATATACAGAGCTGTTTGATCTGTTTCCATTTTTTCCCGTGGGTCAGTATATCACCAAATATGTCCATTCTTAAAAGTACGGTCACTGGGTAGGGCCTTCTTTAACTCAGTATGATAGCTTGATTATATCCATAAAGACCATCTTTCCAATTAAGATCCCATTCACAGGTAGAAGAGGTGATGATTTGTACATGTCTTTTGGGCAACACAAATCAATCTATGATAATCAAACCAATTGCATTGGATAATTGCTGTAGAGCCCAGAGGAGAGATGGGCACTAAATACATGGGGATGGACGAGACTGACTGGAAGTGTGCCTGGAGAGAGGACGTGAATGTTCTGAGACACGCCTTGAGGGATGTGACGTATCACGATGATAGCGGAAGAGAAACCCGCACAGGAACTGGGAAGAGGAAGGCAAAGGAGGAAGAAGAGAAACTACTGTATGGAAGCTCGGAAGTCAAAGAAACCACCGCAGGATGACCAGTGTTCCCGACAGCTTTAGAGAGGGAGGTCGAGTAGGAAAAGGAATCCACGGGAATCGGCAGTAAGACCTTTTCAAAGGGCAGAAGTCAAGCTGGGTAAGTGTCTGTGGTCCTAGCCCCCTGGGAGGTTGAGGTGGGAAGATTTCTTGAGCTCAGGAGTTTATGACCAGCTTGGAGAACATAGTGAAAAATAAATAAATAAATAAATAACAAAAAGGAAGGGTTGAAGTTGGGTAAAATGAGGAATAAATGATGAATGTGAAGATAGAAACAACATTGGGGAAGTGAAAAAACCCCACGGATTCAAGGAGCTGACTGCATGTCCTGCTCCCCGGACTGTGAGAGGAGGCATGGGTATGGGAGGGGCCTTTGGCTGGAAGGCCTGAGCGCCCCATGGTGTTTTACTGTCCCTTGCTTGGATTTGCCTGCCCTAGTCCTGGATCCCTGGTTGTTCCAGAGACTGATTACTCTTCTCCCCAGGATGAAGTAGAGCTATGACTTCTAGTTACTTCCATACTTCTCTTTATCCTGTCTCTCCTGTCCTGATCAGTGTTCTCGGTGTATGCGATCTCTGTTCCCTCAAACTCTGCTGAGAATGACTGTAACTTGGCATTTCTACCCTAGCCATGGGACCACATCGCACCCTCATAGCATCTGTATGACTAGTCCCCTCTGATTTCCCCTTGTTCTGTGTACTCCAGATGCATGAGTCTTGACTCATTTCCTCCAAAGGCTCATGACTCACCTTCTCCTAGTCCTCAAATGCCATAAGATCTGCTTGACTCTGGATGCCACCTTATGTATCACTCTCTCAGGGATGTGTCCCTGGTATTAGGTCCCCTCTGCTGTATCCCCTGGCCCTGTCTTTACAGCCTGACTTTCCATGTATAATTAAATATTTACTTGTAGGATTCACATGTTGTTTTACCTGCCCAACTCAACCTTAAACTCCATGAAGTTAGGCAATGTTTTCTGTTTACTGTGTTAACCCCAATGCCTAGCATAGTAGCTATTCAAGAAGTAATTATTAAATTAATTAATTCACTTTGGATCCATCTCCCTTGTGCCAACATTTTATTGTGGAGAGTTCAAACTTACAACAGAGGTGACAATTGCCTTATAAGATAGATATTCTTATTAGCCTATTTTAGTCATGATGCATGTTTTTTTTTTGTGTGTGTGTGAGTGTGGGTATGTATGTGGGGTATGCTTTTGTATACATCTGTGAATAGGTGTACTCACCTATGGGTGCAATGGTTGCATGTGGAGGTTGACACTGATCGTCCTCCTCTATTGCTCTCTGCCTTAGCTTTTTAAAAAAAATAAATTCTTCATATTTAATTATTTTTATTTTTTAATATTTTATTTATTACTTTTATTTTTGTATTTTATATATATGAGTGTGTTGCCTGCATGTATGTAAGTGCACCCATGTTAAGCGATGCCTGTGGAGGTCAGAAGAAGGCATCAGATCCCCTGGAACTGGAGTTACGGTTAGTTGTTAGCCACCATGTGGGTGCTAGGACTTGAACAAGAGCAGTCAGTGCTCTTAACCACTGAGCCATCTCTCCAGTCCCTCTACCTTAGTTTTTTTTTTTAAATTTTTCAAAATATTTTATTTATTATTTTTATGTGTACGAGTACATTGCCTGCATGTATGTGAGTGCACCTGTGTGGTGCAATGCCACGGAGGTCAAGAGGGCTTCAGATTCCCCTGGAACTGGAGGAGTTAAGGATGGTTCATAGCCGCCATGTGGGTGCTGGGAATCGAACCAGGGTCTTCTGCAAGAGCAGTCAGTGCTCTTAACCACTGAGCCATCTCCCTAGCCCCTCACCTTAGTTTTGAAGACAGTGTCTCTCACTGAACCCACAGTTCACTGAATTAGGTTGACTGGCCACTGTCTGTCCTCACCAAGCACTGGGGTTACAAGCATACAGTGCCATATCTGGCTTTTAAATGGGTTGTGGGATCCAAACTCAGGTCCTCATATTCGTGTAGCAAGTACTTTGCCCACTGAACTGTACTATCTCCCCAGTCCAAAACAGGTTTTTGCTTGATCAGGTTTGCGCAGCTGATAGTGGTGGTGCCAGGATTTTAAATTCTCAACACCTTAACCTTTATATCCTACTGGGAGTGGAAGACTGATTCTTAGGGACTTTTAGGCCCTTCCCTGAAAGAAAACAAGAGAAAGGGTGACTCAAGTCAGAGCAGAAGGTAGGGGTTTTGAGCTGAAGGAGGAATGCTGCTGGTGGTTACTGTCTGTGGTGTGTCCTTTCCATTGGAGGTGACGTCCTCAGTGAGGAGACAGGAGTGTATGGTGGAGGCAGGGAGGTTTATAACAGCTGCAGAGGAATGGAAAGGAAATCATGTGATTAGGAGAATGATTGTCAAGAAGCATTCAGAACCCAGCTGTGAGTGGAGACTATGAATTTGTAGTGGAAACACTCAGCTTAGCTGAAGTTTTTTGGTCATCAGCACTTAAGCAGTTACAAAGCAGAATTTGCTGTCTTGACCCTGACTCTTCACTTTCCCCATGGTTTATGGGTGTTAGGTATTATTACCCTGTTATCTCCTCAGGCCCACAATCTCCTCCCCATTCCTTCTGACTGCTGAGAGGACTGTGCTCAGCTCTCTGTTCCCATTCCCAAACCTGGAAATGAAGGGAAGAAATGTGAACTCTCAGGTTGTGAATTCACTACTTAAGACTTCCTTACTTTGGGAGGCCAGAGCCATCCTAGTTAGCTTTCCATTTCTGTGATGAAACACTTGAACCAAACCCAACCTGGAGAGGAAAGAGTTTATCTGTTTTACATGTCATGATCATAGTTCATTATTGAGGGAAGTGAGGGTGGGAACCTGGAAGCAGTAACTAAAGCAGAGACCATGGAGGAACACTGCTCCTCTGGCCTGTGCTCAGCCTGCTTTTTTATATAACTCAGGAGGGCCACTTGCTCATGGTTGGCACCATCCACAAAGGGCTGCACTTTTCCACATCACTCAGCAATCAGGAACATGCCTCATAGACATGCCCACAGGCCAGTCCAGTAGAGGAAATTCCCCAACTGAAGTTCCCTCTTTCCAAGTGTGTCAAGTTGACAAAGCCAATCATGACAGTTTCTTTGTGTGTGTGTGTGTGTGTGTGTGTGTGTGTGTGTGTGTGTGTGTGTGTACAGTATACCCACTTGCATGTGCAGTACATATATGGAGGTCAGAGGCCAACTTTTGGGAGTCAGTGCTCTTATACCTTGTTCAGGGAGGTTTTCTCTTGTTATTTCTGCCACTCTATGTACTTTGGGGTAGCTGGCCCTTGGGCTTCTGGGCAATTCTCTTGTTTCCACATCTCATCTTGCTGTAGGAACTTGGGCTGTTGGAGTGCTGGGGAGATCCCAGTCATGGACTGGGGTTGAACTGAGCTAAGTCATACTTCCTGTTCATAACAAAAGAACGTTATTGGCTTTAGCATGAGGTAGAGCTCAGGATCGAGAAGGACATAAGGGAGCTCTATGGGGAGCAGAGGCCCAATGGGAAGGTAGAAAAGTCCTCATGGGAAGTGGACGCTGTTTGAGGGACGATAAGAAGTTACGGGGGGGTGGGGGTGGGGAGACAGGGCTTGAGAGGCAGCTAGGTGGCCTAAAGCACTGGCTGCTCTTGCAGAGGATTCAGTTCAGTTCCCAGCATCCACACTGAGTGACCTTACACCCTCTTCTGGCCTCTGTGGGCATTTCACACACATGGTACATTTGCATATATGCAGGCAAAACACTCATATACATAAAATACAAATAAATAAAACTTAAAAAAAGAAGTTATATTGCTTTAGGCTAGGTAATTATCATGTTTAGAGGAACTAAGTTAAATTTTGGTAGAAGTGTCTGCAAATAACCTGGGACGCTGCTACAAGAAAAGGACATCTGAGGACCCACCAGACAGTTGCGAGCCAGGAGGATGCACAGAAAAACTGAGTAAAACCAGAATGGATCTGGATCTGAGTAGAGCCATAGTTGATCAGGATGGTGAAAGGTCCGGCTGGACCAGCACCAAGAACATTGTCTTTCCCTCACATTGCTCTGGTGGAGAAAGCACAAATTACCAAGGTCTTTCCTCCTGCTCTACATCATTATTGTTTTAGGTGTATAATTAAGTCAACTATACAGTAAGCTATATCGAGTTTTCATTCCATAGTGTGAATTCCGTTATTTTTTAAAAACTTTTAAAAACATTTTATTTATTATTTTTATTTTATGTGTATGTGCATATTGTCTGAATGTGTATAAGTGCACCTGTGTCATGCAATGCCTGCAGAGGACAGAAGAGGCTGTCGGATCCCCTGGAACTGGACTTACGGACAGTGGTTAGCTGCCATGTGGGTGCTGGGATTTGAACCCAGGTCTTCTGCAAGAACAACCAGTGTTCTTAACCACTGAGCCATCTCTCCAGCCCCGTGAAGTCAGTTATTCTTAACAAATTCATAGGTATTGTTACGGATAATTTTCTAATTTGGATAGTCTTCTATCCATCAAATTCAAGATTTTAATTCTCTGAGTGGTCCAAACAAAGAAATAAGTTGCCTTTAGAAAATGCTGCTCTTAGCCAGACATGGTAATATATGCATGTAGCCTCAGTGCTTAGGAGACAGGGGTAGGAGAATCAGGAGTTCAAAGCCAATCTTGGCTGCATAGTGAGTATAAGGCCAGATGGGCTCGTGAAATCACCTTGTCTCAAGGAAAATGAGAGAGATGGAGGTTGAGGCAGGGCGCAGAGGGGAGGATGAGAGAAGAACAAAGAGAAGCAACAACAAAGAAAATGCTGCTTTTCTGAGTTTTATTTCTGTTGGGAAGTAGAACTCATATACATTAATATTTACATTCAAGAATGAGTCTAAATTGACCTTGGGTCACATGAAGCATTTTCTTATTCTCTTTTATAGCTTTATTGGTGTTTGTATTTCACATACCATAAAATCCACTCAGTGTTCAGTGACTTTGAGTACATTCCTGAAGTTGTGTAGCCCTCACTACAGTACAATTTTAGGTTTTAAAAATACTTTTAAAAGAAGCGTCTCATCCTTAGATGCTGATCTCTATGCCCCCCCCCC